TTGCTCCAGTTCCGTGACCCGTTGGAGCAGGCGCCCAACGCCCCATCTCACGCCCTCTTCCGGTGCCTCCAAGGAGTGAAACAACCTCCGTAACTTTCCCAAACGTTCACGCCTCTCTGGCAGCCCAGCCCCGCCCCCTTCCTGAGCCCCGCCTACTTCCCCTGGCAGAACTGCCATGGAGCCACACATGCTAATATCGTCTAGGAAACGGAAGATGGCGCTGATGTCATCCTCGCCGATGTCAGGGTTGTCAATGGAGAGTTTATCGGCAAGCATGAGGCTTCGTAAAGCGCGCCGATCTGCAGGCTCTGTTTGGGTGCCTACGCTAACCATGCCCTCAGTGCTCGGTGACCAATCATACCATGCGTCCAAACTCATGCCGCTCAGCCGTTTGAAAGTATCCCGCACCGTATTGACGATGCGAGGATCAAAACCGGGAATGTCAAAGCTTGATCTGTCGATGCTAAGTTTAACAGATCCTGGTTTTCGTAATCTCGACTTCTCTAAGACAGACCGCTCTGATCTGGGTTTCTGCAACCCGGTCGTTTCAGGCTCAGGTCTTTCGTCCGCTGACCTGCTGTCGATGTCCAAGCTATGGCTTTTGATTTGAAGAGCAGGGCTTTGGTGCTTTTGGTTGGAGACCGAAGGGCCGAAGTAGGTGGATGTCTGGAGTTCGTCCAAACTCTCATGCTTTGCCTGACGCCACTGAGTCTGAGGGTCATAGGGGTTTGCGGCATCATCGTACGATTGCGTGTCGGCCACGTGTGCATCCGGTTTATTCGAATGAGTCGTGTAAGCGTACAAATGGTCATGCGCATGTGATGCCGGGTTGTGGTGGTCGTTTGCATATGTTGCAGGGTCTGGATAGGGGTTCTTTTGGGGAACGTAAAGCAGGTCCTCTCCATCCGATCTTGGTCCATCTGGGCTTTTATCTGACTGGCCGCCGCCTTCCATGGATATGAGTGGAACATTGTGGATCCCTTCTTTAAAGGCACTCCTCTTCTGTGAGCAGGAACGAGCAACGCGGGTTCCCTGATTGGTCGCCGGTGTCTTGCCAGCCTCCTGATTGACTTCCTCAATGGAAATGTCCCCAGAATACGCGCTCTGCATGCTGTCCTGGTTGTGTATATGTGAGTGAGGCTCAGCAACCAATGCGGAGGTGGTCTGAGCGTGTGAAGCCTCTGTGTTATGACTGAACGCTTCACAAGGGAGGTTCTCATATTTACAGTGCTCAGAGGCGGCCCCTCCTCTTGTGACGGGTAGAGCGGCTGGCCAGTCGTAACGCACAAATCCCTTCCCACAGACCTGACAGGGCATCAGAGACTGAAGGTTCTGCGTGTATGTAGGAGCCATGCGGGTGTGCATGAGGAGGTTGAACAGGGAGACGACATCGGCGGCCGCTGAGAGCCGGTTGCTGCAGGGCGGGTGAAGTCGCTCTCGGAAGAGGGTGGCAGGGAAGCAGGGGTCTCTACAGGCGGTGGAGTACAAGAGACTCCGTAATTCTAGAAGCGGCTGCAGGCTGAAGCGTCCACTCAGATAGACACAAATGTCTGCGTACGTCACGCTCCCACGGCATGCACCTAACACCTCCAGGATCTCCAACAATACAAGGGGGTCTTCAGGGTTTTCAGCCATGTTTGCACCAGATTTCAGCTTGTACTCATGCACACTACATGTAGAAATTTAAGCCCACTGTCCTTTGCTTTCCCCACTTCGTCAAAGGCAAATGCAGCTCTGCAAAAAGGAGCACAGCCGCAAAATCAGGTCAGCCAGGAGGATTTCCACAAAAATTACTTTTGCATTGACTTCATATAAATACTATGCAAGTTAAAACAGTCCAAGAAAGAAAAGTGCAATAAAAAACAAGCGGTTACCTCTTGCCACTGGGATATGGTGCTGAAAACAAAGCAATTCATTGCTGACCTTATTCAAAGCCTTAATATAGCCACTGATCGGAGCATTTGAAAAGCGCAGAAACCATTAGCGACGGTGTGAAATCGTCCATCTCCGCTGATCAGGGTCCCTTCTGAGAGACTCTCGTAGGTAATGCAGCGGTCAGTGGTCAGGCAGCGGTCAATCCTACGGTTAGTGCAGAAAAGCAGGTCGTTTGGGGTCTCAAAGGATGCTATGAATCCCGGTTCTCATCCGCACATGAGAAACAGCATGGATAGTTTCTGCTTCATGTGTGACAGGAGTGTTGCATCCTCTAGTTGGTGTGTTTGCACACGGAGCTGCTGTGGTGAAAGTCACGCATGACGTTAGTGACTATTCTAAAGCAGGACAATAAACATCCAACAGAAGAAGTGCATTATACAGTACAGAGAAATGCATAGAAGAAACCTTAAATTGTAAATCCCAATACTTTTATTATAAAATATTTCCTTTGTGTATTTACATTAATTGCTATTATTAAAAATAAGTAATTAATAAAAACAGATAAAAATATATTTAAAAATGTATTTCCTACACATTGGTTAATAAAACAAATATTATTTGATAAATATAAAAATAAATAACAACCTACAAAAGTTACTATGAAATGCATCCATAGATTTATTTTTTATACACTTCACTGCATTTTATTTATTTAATTTGTTAATTGTTAATAAAAAAAGAAGTCAATTAATATAGACATAATAGAAATGTTTCTGAGTTGCATTTACCTTTGGAGTTTGCACTTTGCTCTGATTTTTCTGTTTATATAAAACATTTTTTAATTAAATTATGTTAAAACATTAACCATTTATTTACATATTAAATGATTAAATAAAATGGCATAATTGTAATCATATTTGATTCCTAAATATATTGAATAGTAATGTATTTTTATTTTCTAAAGCCTCAATAAAAAATTGCATTTAAAAATATTGAAACAAAGCATACATTTACATACAGCACCTTTAAGCATATGACATTTCTTGAGTAAAACCTTAAGAAATAACTTGAAAATAAAAGCCCACCTGTACCATCTGAGGATTTGTCCTGATGCACACAGACCGTCCCAAATCGCATGCAAACAAAAGTGGAGAAGTCAAACAGCCCCAGCATCTGCTCAGTATCATACTGAAATAGATGAAGAGAGGTTTACAGACTATAACACACTTCCTCTCTCTCTGTTTTAGTATAGCCTACAGCTACATTAAAGTGATCAAACCTTTTAAAAGTGTAATGGAGCTTGTTCACTTCAGACATCAGATAGCCTGCACTGTTAAGACTCATCAGGAACTCAAAGTTCTTTCTCTATCTCTAATTGATGAGCATCTGAAATACATCAGGTTTAAGATGACTTCAGCACACGGTACAGGTCTATTGTAAAGTTTGTTGTTGAGTTTAAAAAGTTTGTTTGTTTAGTCATCTCAGGTTCAAAATAATTCATCATAAAGACCATCAGGGGGCAACAAAGATCACGTTATATCAGATTGCATGTGAATAGGAAAAAATCTTTGAAGGGGGAAATACTGACTACTACCAATAAGCAAAATAAAAAAAAAATGTCACATTGCAACAATACTGTCATAGTGCAATAATTGACGAATAAATTATAATAATTCATTCTGTATTTTTGCTGTAATTGGTTTTGACAGAAATTGATAGACAAGATTGTTATTGCATAAATGCATATAATACATGTCAATGATTTTTAGTAATATTTAATAGCAATAATACATAACAAAATATCAAACCAAGTGGCAATTTTTCCATAGAAAGACAGCACTTTTTGGTATACTTAAGTATTTCACTGCCCATAGAAGGGTTATTAACTAAAACCAAAACCATAAAAAAAAAAATTGTTATTTGAAATTAAATAAACGTTAACTAAAATAAAATCATATATATATATATATATATATACAGTATCTCACAGAAGTGAGTACACCCCTCACATTTTTGTAAATATTTTATTATATCTTTTCATGTGACAACACTGAAGAAATGACACTTTGCTACAATGTAAAGTAGTGAGTGTACAGCTTGTATAACAGTGTAAATTTGCTGTCCCCTCAAAATAACTCAACACACAGCCATTAATGTCTAAACCACTAGCCACAAAAGTGAGTACACCCCTAAATGAAAATGTCCAAATTGGGCCCGAAGTGTCAATATTTTGTGTGGCCACCATTATTTTCCAGCACTGCCTTAACCCTCTTGGGCATGGAGTTCACCAGAGCTTCACAGGTTGCCACTGGAGTCCTCTTCCACTCATGACGACATCACGGAGCTGGTGGATGTTAGAGACCTTGCCCTCCTCCACCTTCCGTTTGAGCATGCCCCACAGACTTAAACTATAACGAGGTAACAAGATGGGAGGGGCAAGACAATAGACAGGAAAGAGCACATGGCGACAGACAAACACAACACAAGCCATGTGCTCACAGAACACAGTCATCTGGTGGCCCTCCTGGGCACACCCGCTGCAGACTGCGACAATATGTACGAGTGCATAACTCAAAGAAAAAAAAAATGTGAGCGATTTTAATAAAATTACAGTAAAGGAAATGTTTTGATGGGTGTGCCTCTGCGTGCTTTAATATGATTTCGCACTCTCTGATCTCTTTGTTTTGCTAAATCTGTTTGGGTTTGTTGGTGAGTCATACTGTCACTTATTATGAGAGATAAACATTTTTTCACAATGTGTCAGTGTTGTGTTTGAGAAACACAGAGATCACATGACATCAAAGGGAAGAGACAGAGGTGGTTCGTAATTATACAACCACTTTTCCAGTGTACAAACTCGGCACTAGGGTGGCTTTGCCAAATTTCGGCCTAATTGAGACCAGGCAAACAGGAAAAAGGGGGGAAGAACGGAAAGAGAAAATGATACAAACAAGATTAAGGAAACGGAGAGGTTGTGAACGGTCACATAATGGAGTGACGCTGTGATTATGGGAAACGGGATGAAGGGAATCAGCCCTTCACAGTGACTCTTATCAGCCTGTTGAGTGAAGGCTGTTAAAACACACTTCATCCTGGATACTCAAAAAAAACATTCCACCACAAAATTCATGAATTATTTGGCTTTTATTTGAGCCGTATGCACCGATGTGGGTAAATTAATCGACTCTATTCACAAATCAGAAACAAAACATTAGAAAAATTCAGAACAATTCATATCAAGCAGTACTGCGAGTACAATAAAGCGAACAAATGGTTAATCTTTCAAATCTATTATGAACGATAAAAAAATATAAAAAGTCAGACTTAAAGCCCTTTTCAAATGGGCTTGGAATGCTAAACCAACCCTTTTCTCTCATTACTGGTGACCAGTGATACAGCTGCACTAAGAAAAAGAGTGAATTCCAGTCAATCAGAGACGTGCAGAGATTGTGTGCCTGATGCTGTGATCTAACTGGCTCTTAGCTGATGAGGTCATGTTGCTTTGGGACAGACATCATGCAACACAAATATACTGGCAGTTTCCCAGGCAACCGGACCCTCACACAATCTCCCGGGTTTTCCGGATGGCACAGCACAGCATCATGCTAAAGATCATGCCGAAGATCTGCGCACACGGAGAACACATTCCTTCAGTGACACGCCAATCAAGTGACAACTAATGTTTTCAAAAAGCCTTATGATCAAGGAACATAATATATACTTTTTTTTCTATGTAAAACTGCAGTTTGTAATCTCTGCACCTGTAGCATTACCAAAAAACATACATACACAACGTTTAAAAGTTTGGGCGTGGTAAGATTTTTTTATATTTTTGAAAGAATGCTCACCAAGGTTGCATTTATTTGATCGAAAAATGCAATAAAAACAGTAATATTGTGAAATTGTATTACAAATCAAAAGAACTGTTTTTCGGTTTGAATATCTTTGAAAATGTAATTTATTCCTGTGATGCAAAGCTGAATTTCCAGCATCATTACTCCAGTCTTCAGTGTCACATGATCCTTCAGAAATCAGTATAATATGTTGATTTGCTGCTCAAGAAACATTTATTATTATTATTATTATTATTATTACCAGAAAGTTCAAAAGAACATAATTTTTATGAAATAGAAATATTATGTAACATTATAAATGTCTTTGCTGTCACTTTTTGATCAATTTAATGCATCCTTGCCAAATAAAAATATAAAAGTACAAATTTCTTAAAAAAAAAAAAAGAAATTATAAATGGTAATGTGTATATATAAATTTAAATTCAATTAGGCATTTTTAATTTGACAAAATATAAAATTAAGCTTTTACAGTTTTAAAATGTGTATCTTCTAAAGGTCCATATGCTGAACAAGTCTTAACAAAAAATATCAACACACAGTGAAACTAAATCAAATTTACCATGAACACTCCAATGCTGATTCCAACGCTTCCAATAATATGAAGTTTGGAGTTAAAGACTTCATCAATGGCATCAGGGCAGCTCTCATAATTTATATGAAATAGAAATATTATGTAACATTATAAATGTCTTTGCTGTCACTTTTTGATCAATTTAATGCATCCTTGCCAAATAAAAATATAAAAGTACAAATTTCTTAAAAAAAAAAAAAGAAATTATAAATGGTAATGTGTATATATAAATTTTAATTCAATTAGGCATTTTTAATTTGACAAAATATAAAATTAAGCTTTTACAGTTTTAAAATGTGTATCTTCTAAAGGTCCATATGCTGAACAAGTCTTAACAAAAAATATCAACACACAGTGAAACTAAATCAAATTTACCATGAACACTCCAATGCTGATTCCAACGCTTCCAATAATATGATTCTAATTTATTGAGATGCACCTGTATTCTTATAACTGTAGATGTGTCTACCAAAAACGTGGACATTAAACTTATAAACTGAAACACAATTTGAATGAAATATGATGTGCCTTGGCAAATACCAGGTGTTATTGTGAACTAAAACTAAAAGTATTAAAATCATTTTCATTAATTGAAATAAAGCTGAAGTAAAATAGAAATATGAAATACAAAAAAAAAACGAAAAAACTTAAGCTAAATATAAATATTTTCAAAATATTGAGAATATTCAATATTTAAAATATTAAATAAAATGACAAAAACTTAAAAATGTAAATAAAAAATTAAAATCGAATTCAAAATATTAATAAACACTAATAGTATATAGGAAAATACTAAAATAACACACATTATTATTACATAACATTTGAGAAAATGGTTTAATTTTGACTTGGTGGTACTTTGTTATATGAAGGACTGCACAAATATTAAATAAAGTTCATAATTTGTTTTTGTTTTCTAATATTTAATTTCTATATAAATGTATTTAGATTACATTTATTAATTCTTTCACTTCTTTATTCCTCACATTTATGCATTTTTTACATTTGATTTGTTTTTGTTTTTTATTTTATTTTATCATAGTCTTCATAGTCTACATGGATTTTGTCCAATGATTTAGTACAAAACTCAGTAATCAGTAGCATATCAGTAGCTACATATTAAATATAACCACCAAAATGCAGCATTTTAGTCTGTAAACACTGTTACCTTTGTAATGAGAACATCGAGCACCTCTTTTCCGGGGCAGGTCTCATCAAGAACATCCTGGATGTTTCCTGACGGTCCACAGCAGTTAAGCTGAGAGATGAGGAACAGATGTCATCACAAATTAGCAAGGCTTTGGAGTCAACAAGCTAGGATGAATTAGTGTTTGAGAGAGCATCTGATGCACAGAGCACATAAAAACAGCAAGTGCGTTCTGAAGATGTTTACAATCTCCCAGCGCTTCAGAGGAACAACTAGCAGTTGATGTTCGCAAGACTCACAGTATTGAATCTTTGAAAGAAAGAAAAGAGATCTTACTCCATGCTGGATGAGACTGAGTGTTTCTTTCAGAGCTGGTTGTTTGGTTTGTTGGTAGTTATTGTATGTTTCCTTGTAGAAATTCGTTACATCTTCAGTAACCTATGGGCACAAACATAGTGACACGAATTAGGTGCACCATCGGTGTGTTTGCGTGTGAACTGAGCATTTGGGACGCCCACCTTGGTCTGGTTTGAAAAAGCCCAAATTCCAGCAGCCACCTCGACCGCAAAGATAACCAACAGAAAGAAGAAGAACTGTGGGAAAAACAACAACAGTCAGACCCCACGGCTGATGACATCATAATACTACAAAGTGATATTTGAGAATATCATAATGTGGGGGATTACCAGTCCCAGCATGCAAGGGGACTCCCGGATGGCGCCACAACATCCAAAAAAACCAACGACCATCATCAGCACGCCGACCGCAATGAGGATGTACACACCTACAACACACACACTTTACTTTAACCGGCTGACCATCACATGCAGCAACATAAAAGGCATGTTTAAAAAAACTACTTACCTGTATAGAAGATGTAAGATGAGTTCTCTCCTTCAAACAAGATTTTAGTCTTGGGATCAAACCTCAGCCAGAGTCCAACAGCCATGACGCCTGTACCTGCAATCTGCAATAAAACGACAAAAGATTGTGAATAAATCACAATGAAATACCTACAAATGGAATAAAATACACACAAATCAAAATTATGTCTTTAATATAAGGAAGAAACAGCTAAAATTATTGCACTAAATGATCTCAGCAGAGGTTACTGGCTTGATTTAAAGAGGTCTAAAAGCCATCCGTTTACATTCCCATCACTTGGCTGGCGAAAATTACATAATTCACTAGCAACTGTTCATTATATAAGTGTATTAGAGATTAAATTAAAATACATTAAAATTAATACAATTAATATAAAAGGATTAATTTAAATAACGTAAAAATAAATAGGATTATTGTACTATTATATATATATATACAGTGGGTACGGAAAGTATTCAGACCCCCTTAAATTTTTCACTCTTTGTTATATTGCAGCCATTTGCTAAAATCATTTAAGTTAATTTTTTTTCCTCATTAATGTACACACAGCACCCCATATTGACAGAAAAAAACTTGTTTTAAAGTTAAAATAAATCTATTGTTATTATTAATATTAATAAAAACACTAAATAAACAAATAAAAACATTACAAAAATAAACAACAATATATAAAAATGATAAAATAAACATCTATTATAATAAAATTAAATATTTAGAATTGATGGGTGGCTTGCAAATAAAAAATTAAATAAAATTAATTAATTACAATAAATTAAATATAAAATACATCAAAATAAAATATTATAAAAAAATAGTAATATATAAAGAACTATAAAATAAACACAAAAAATAAGTATAAGACATCTATTGTAATAAAATGAAATATTTAGGCTTTATAGTTAAACAATTGCAAACCATTTTTCTGTCAGAATACAGGCCTATTTTTATACCAACAGGGGTGCATTGGCAGTGTTAACCAGCTTGACTTTGCTTGTTTCTTTAAAATAAAACAACAGGACACTGCAGACAGTTGCATGAATTATGTAATAATGTGTACAATTTAGTAAAACTCAATAGGCTCAGAGGCTTATATCTATCTTTTCTGAAACCAGCAATTACGTGACAGAATCCAAATAAAACTGGCAGACGTTCTGACAATCTGTCAGATGTGTGATGCTATATACAGTATGCATGCATGTTTATCTGCCATTTTGGCAAAACTGCATGCCTGATTTTACTTCCTCCATCTAGGGATAAAATAACCTCCGTCACATGGAAAAACCCCCCCTGCTTGCTTCCTTTTTTAACACTAAAAATATTGCAGTAAGTGCAACTCCTATGATCAGCTTCAACATCTGTTGGTTTGACCCAAAATGACTGCAGATTAATAATGTCAAGCCAGCTTAGAGCGTTCAAGGGCACCATGAAATTTTGCTTCAAAGTTATGTCCAAAAACACAAACAAACAGATGCATCACACAGACCAATCATCTTTCAGCATTTGATTTTAAAATCTGCTGAACTATCACACATGCTAACACCAGGTTCCTCATTATATCATGACATGTGTCTTATTTTTCATTCTAGTCATGTCCTGCTCACTACGCTGAATGCAACAGTTTCATGTTCACAGGGTTCACGTCCTGCTCTTTGATTCATTCTCTCTGACCCAGATCTTTTGTTTGAAAAACTAAAGGTTGACAAATCTGTTCCAAATCTCCATGCCAATTCTTAACTAAACGAACACCCTTAAAACAACCCCACTTCACAATCTCTTACCCCATTCCACACAAACTCCACATAAACACAACACTAACACTCACAAATAAACGTTGACGTGCTACTTTCACACAATCACACACCAAAACAAAAATACGAAATTGCACTTACCCAGAAGATTAAGTTTAAGATAAACATGGCGTATTTAATACATTTTGGACATCCATCAACACCCATTTTGCTGCAGTCCAAGTCACTTTCGTGTTCAGGGAAACAAACCGTATTCGTTCACCTGCACAATCGCAGCTAAATAGATCAGTTTCAAGAAAGTTTGCTCACAGACGTGCTGTTTTGTTACTTCCTCCCTTTGTTTGAGGAGAAACAGAAGCTGAAAATGTCTGCATGTTCCACAATATTCCGCGTGTGTCAGTGGGAGTAGCTCACAGGTATGTGAGAGTCAGCATGCTGTGCGCTCAGTACAAGTCTTGAGGTGACTTCACACTGCATTCTGTTCTAATGCTGTAGCTGGGCCAAATTTCACACCAAAAACAAAAGTAATGTATATTTTGCTTCATAAATAAGAAGCATGTTTTTCACTGCAACATTTTCATTGATCATTAATCACATTTACCTCTCAATTCCCATATCATATTGCCCAATAATAATAATAAAACGAAGAAATAAAATCTCATGCTTATGACTATGATATAATTGAAATAATTTTCTGAGGAAATTAATTAAAAATGATTTTTTTATTAAAATTTAATTCACTACAACACATACTACCATGGTGTACAAATACTTCACAGTATTTATAAAAATAATATATAATTATATATAACTATATAACACTGAATTATTTTTTCATGTTATGGTAAGAAGAATTTAGGGGTAAATGTGCTTAATTTCTTGAAAATAATGTCACAATCTTTAAAAAAATATATATTTAAAAAAATATTTTCTTCTAAAATATAATTTTTATATAATTATCTAGTAAAATATTAGTTGTCACATGTAGTATATTTAACACACACATATATAATTATTTATATTAAATATTACATAATTCACTTTACAGTAATGATATATATATATATATATATATATATATATATATATAAGAGTATGACATATACTATACATAAATATAAATATATTACACATATTTTTTTTAAATATATTACACACGTGTGTGTATTTAATCGATCTGACAGCTCTAATTTTTATATGAAATATTACATAATGCACTTTGCAGTAAAAAGAATGAAGCCTTTTCACATTAGTGATGTGAAGTGGAGGGTGAATGTTTAATTATATTGAAAATATTAATGTTTAAAAATAGGCTTTATTGTCTTTATGTAAACTATAATCTAAACTTTAATGTAAACTATAAAAAAAAAATTAAATGCCACACATATCACTACCAGGGAAATGAACTCATTAGTAAATAATGAATTGTTAAATGTAATAATACATTTTTGTCCTATCTTGTTAAAAACATTATGTCACAAATACAATATGTTTAAATTTCTGGTCACTAAATAAATGGGCAGTTTAGTCTCTATCCAGGCAGGGAAGACAGTGGAAGAGCCCGTGGAGAGCATGAATGCCTCATTAATGCAATGGTTCAAAGACCTGCAGGTTCTGTGTGTGTGTGTGTGTGTGTGTGTGTGTGTGCTCAGAGAAGGTGTTAAGTAATGCTGATATTAAGTAATATTTACAGAGTGCAAATGAATGAGACCAAATCCAACACACACACACACAAAAACACAATTTCATAATGTGCATATTGTCCCCCCATAAAAACCCAACAAATGCAGTTTACAGTGAGTTTGTCCATGAGATTATCATGCTCTATAAATAGGCCCGCAGATTAAAGACAATCTAGGACGTGTGCTCACATAAACCCTCGGGCTGGACACACACACACACACACACACCATACAGCTCTTGGTTGCGTTCACTGTGTTGATAAAGTTAGCGATTCATTTAGTGAATCAGTTCACTTCAATGGAATGGTTCAAAAATTCACATCTAGTATTTTGCTTCACCACAATGTTTAAGGTGATATTTTTTCCCAGTTTAATGTGGACAGACAACAAATATAAGATATTCATAGGCTGGCTCTCCCGTAATGTATAAACACTATGGAAAGATCAAATCATTGATCTGATTGCAGAGCTCCAGGCTGTGAGTAAAAGGCAACGTTTCGTGGCCATTTTCCTGCTGGTGTAACTAAATTTTATTTGAGATGAGAATTCAAAAATTCTCCATTCTTTTTGATTATGCATATGCTGCAGTTTGCTGAACTCTGGCATGAAACTGAACATCCGATTGAACATTGCAGTATGGTGCGATCTGTATTGCCAAAAAAAATCAAACAAACAAACAAAAAAAAAACTGCAGAGCAGACCCAACTGGATTTAGGCCCAAAACATACTGTGCAAGCTTGTTGCTTTCTGAAATATAACATGTTAGGTGACAATTTATAATGCAAACTGCTTTTGCATGCTATATAGCATAGGAATTATGCATATCTGGATTTGCAATGATATGTTGTGGCAATAATATAATTATTTAGAATTTTTAATACAGTTTTGCATAAAAATGTCTTAAATGTTTGAACAAAATTGAGTCAAGAAGCAGATTTCAGAAAGTGTGATTGATATTAGAGCCCAACCGATATGGGTTTTTTGGGGGCCGATGTCGATACCGATATTAGGGTGTAAAAAAAGACCGATACCAATATATCTGCCGATATTCTTTATGTGTAGGCTATATTATAGTACAGTATAGTCAAAAGTTTGGACACACTTCCCATTCGTGTCCAAACTTTTGACTGGTACTGTATATAGAATACAGTATATAGCCTACATAAACAGAATATATATACATAAACACATTTTTTGCAATGATAACTCAAATGTGGTGATCAAACACTTATAATGATGTGACAAACATAGGCCTAT